TTTCAGTTAAACAATTATTGAATTTAGCTCAGAGATCGCATTCGTTCCCATATATGTATGTATTGTTATTGTATTTCGAAGCAAAATAAAAAAATGGGTTTAAGATTCGAGTCAATTAATGAGTCTGTGCTTGACAGGCTTATCAAATTCGAACACAATTCTTTCGCACATCGTTGAGTGTATATTTTTGGACCGGGGGCAGTCCGGAGTGCGAAGCGTCATCGAATTGTTTAAAGTGTTTCGCCTTATATAGAGAATGATTATTTGTTACTTTACACTTGTTTGACTTTTGGCACAAGTCTCCGACAATGGCGATGTCGATGCCGATGCCGATGCCAATGGCGACACACCCACAGTCGAATTTGGGATTATCTGTTGGTCATTCGGGTGGGCGTTGTTTGGCGCTGCGGCTGCAACCACCAGAAATCCATTAATAATTTTCTTGCGCCACATTGCAATTAAATATTATTGTACAATTAAAGAGAAATGCAAGAGACAGCGCGACAAAGAGCATTCGCTGTATTCGCATCGTGTAAATTTCAGAATCGCAAATTTATTGGCGACGATTTCTTTTCACTGCCCGCTCCCTCATCGGCCTGGCATTGGGCATGGATGGGGATGATAATAAGTTTGGCCTGGGGATGGGTCGACACGGTCTGCCTCGTTCCTGTGTGGGCCCAGTGCACCCAAACTGACGTCGCCTGGGTTTGTCAATTTGTCAATTTGTCTGATTGTCTGTCAGCTTTTAAATTTATTTAACAAGATCTGTCACAGCGCATTATTGTGAATGAGTATGGAATTTTTATATTAAAAATTGCATTTCTCTGAGCGAGTATAAAAACAGTTTAATAAATCAATGAATAATTTGATGGAATTCATTTCTTGAAGCTAAATAATTGAGTCAAATGAGTAAAAGTAATGAGCTCTCATATTTCATAGCGGAGGCAATGCAATGTATGCAAGTGAGAAAAAACAAAATGTATATATGTATATGTTTTTATATTGCTATAAAACTTTCATCCTCTGGAGTATCAAGTTGCAAATAATGAGAAAATCTTTCTCATCATTTATTTTACGATGGGATTTTACATACTTGATTTTAAGAATTACTGACAGGCTTCAGTAGTCGATAAACAGATCGTAAGCCATACATAAATACTACTACGTGACCTTGAACTACATGATAAATATATGTAAGGGGCATTGCATAAATATGACGTAATATTGTGAAGTTAACAGCAGAGTCAGTCTTATAAGTGCTGTGTGAGGCTGAGAGCTTCAACAGAGTTAGTGTAGATATATTATCTGACTGCATTTAGAGAGTGAGAGAGAGATAGAGACGGAGAGACGGCGATCATTACACAAAACTCATATTCTCGATTCTCTTCAATTTG